GTGTGTGTGTGTGTGGAATGATGATGTGTTTGTTACTTGACAAGCCATCTGTGAACAGTTTGCAGATTTTTCCTCAGTACTGGATGCTCACACATGGTTAGCTGACACACAACATGTCCGTCAAGACTTGTTTTTTTATTTATATATCATTTAGAATGTATAAGGGAAGTGACTGGGGATAGTTGTCACACTTTTATTATTAATTCAGTTAATATTTCTGAGGGAAGGTTTATTTTTGAAAGCTAATTTCTGTATAGGCACATGCAGAAACATCTTGGTTAAAACAATATTTTATTCACATTATATGGAGTGAGTTGTCACAACTGACCGTTCACTTGTTTACGTGAAAACTATAGCATAAATAAAACCATTTTAAAGGCAGTTTTACACAGAAGTAAACCGTTTTATTTGTAATTCTCTCTCATTGCTCCCATACAGTCACAATCCTGAGAATGGTGTATCAAGCAACAACAGTGAAAGCCCCTCCCCCACCAATGTGCAACTGTTGTGGATGTGTGTGTATTCAAGCAGATGGCAGTCCATATTGGTCATTCTTATGACATTCTTAATCACAGAATCAATTATCATGTTTCCTGTGATAGGAGGAGTTCCCATCAGCCTCTCGGCAGCCTGGATCACCACTCAGGTACTGCATTATTCATGAAACCTAATGAATATTTAAACGCTGTTACTGGGCTAAAGACGGATATGTTTAATGTAGGTGAGGTAGGTGAGTAATGTATCATAACTGTCCTGCTGGTTTTTCAGGAGATGATCATTATATTTTAAGGTCACCTGCAAGCAAGTAGCAAATTATGGTTCATGCATGTGATATTACTAATGGTTATTGGCTACTTAAAAAAAACACACACACATACTCTTAAATATGTCCTTCATAAACTTTAAGTTTTAATAGTAGACAAGTCAACACAGGACAGAAAACAGGGTCAAATAAATTTCATTGGGTCATTAAAAGAATAACAAAATTCTGTCATCATCTACTAAACATCATGTCATTCCAAAATTGTAAAATGTTGTTCTTTCTACACAAAATGTGAAATTTGGTTAGAAATTTTGTAGACTGCATACAACGACACCTTTAAAGGAAAACTAAAGGTTTGAAGTTTGAATATGTGAAAACTTAAATGATATTTGAGAGTTATGAGAGATTTTCTCATTTTCTAACTATTTTCAAACAAAAAATAGGAAAAATCTACAGACATAATATTAATTTAAATGATAAAGAATTATGATAAAATAAAATCTTGTTAATAATAAAAATAATAATTAAGATTTTATTATTATTATTATTAATATTAATATAAGAAGATATTCTAAATCCATTGAAGTTTTGGAAGTCTTCCATCTTAACAATATTTGGATCGAGCTTTCAGCAAACGATCCAGTGTCAGTATGGACTGGTCTGAGGAACATCACCATGTACAAGACACCACCCCCACAGTTTGCGGAGAATCAACAACTGGCTGACGATCTGAATGTGTTTTACTGCAGATTTGAAAAGGAT